ATAAAAAAAATATACACGCCAGCCAGGCATTTCAGGTGTGGACAAGTAAAGTTAATTGTAGAGTTACAAAAATGTGATTATCACATCATTTGCTCTATTTCATACAGTATAATCTCTGAACACTGGGTAATTTTAAAAATATACTGAACAATTAATGCATTTTTAAATAATAGGCACAAAGAAATAGGATATTTATGCAAAGAAAGTTACCTACTAATACATTGTAATTTCTAGATGTTTAAAATATTGTCTCAGAAACATACAATTTGAACATTACGGGTGGCAGCCTTCCATTACAGGCAGCAGCCTTCCAACCACCAGAAATCAGGTTTTTAAACAAGCTATAAAAATTATACCTATCTGTCATACCTTCAAAGTAAAAATACGAAATATTCAAACCATGTGATGAAAAATCATTTGCAAATGGCTTCTACTCTTTCCGTTTTCCACCACTGCCATGTATTTAACTGAAACAAACTAATTAAAGTACCATTCTCAGAAGTAATGAAAACATCTATTTGTGTAACAGTAACTCTGGGCACCTATCAACGATCATATTTCCAAATATTAACAGTTATATTGCAGTAATGTACAATAATTTCTCTACGTGTTTAAGCTCAAACTGTACAGTATTATGTCAGGCACTGAATAAAGCCTTAGGAAGGAGCTGAACTTTACTGCTCTGTGAAGTTTGGAAGCATGCATGTACTTCCTCAAAGCTGATATGGCCTGCAAATTGATTCATCAAGAACTTCAATGAGTTCCTCATTTATGCAGTTTTCTTATGCTGTTATATTTCTTCTTAAGGGGGGTGGGGGAGAGAGGAAAATCAAACCTCCAAACACGTCCACTTTCACAGAAACAAATCAGGTGACATTTTAATATTAGGTGGTTGGTATTTTTTAAACCTTACATTGTCAGTAGGGGTTTTGGCTTACCTTCTCTGTTTACTCCAGAGCGAGCTGACACCTGTGGCCACCCAGGTTGTACTCAGTTTAGCAGCTGCCAAACCCTAATCAACTTTCTAAAATGGTTTTTCCAGCAGCCTTCCCTGATCCACATGATCAGGTCTGGCAATCCCACTGGTAAAATACATCTAGATTTAAGCACTACAATGACATTTTCCTTGTTGAATGTCGTATTATTACTTTTACGCTACTTCACAATTTGTCTGGCCAAAAGACCAAACTCTTTTTTCAAGATATTTACACAAGAATAGCCCTTGAGGAAGGGTGCTATGATTATGTAATTTCCACATTGTTAGGCTCAGCTGACACAAAAGTACCTTCTGGGTTTACATATATTGTTAATTATTCTCTGAATAATTATTTTGCATGCAAGAATAAATTTTAAAATTAAATTTATGTGTGGGAAAAGGTAAGAAAAGGCACAGCCAGCATCCTCACAGTGCACGGATTTCACCTTTAGCTAGCATCCCTGCGTTCAAACAAACTCCGAGGCAGGCAATCTTGCAAAAGTATCACAGAACCTACATACTCAGCAGCTGTTTCTCTACTGAAAGGGCTGGTTTTGTTTCCTGGTCCTGTACAACAGCTTTGTAGATTTTTCTTTTTCTCTCAGAACTCTTACTAAGTCAAAAATGATGCATAAGCAACACCAAACATGCAAGGATGAATTGTGAATTTTGAATGTCTCAATGAAATCCTGCATGTCAACCACTACTTTCCTGACAAGCATCAGCCTACAACAAACGTTAAACAAATCTTCATATTCTTGCCAAGCACACAATTGCTTTGGCAAATAATGGGATTTGTTGGTTCAAATCAGGGAAAAAATAAACTTGGCACCATTTCAGAACAGGTCTTGTTTACTTCTCCTCCCACTCAGAGCCATGTAGAATATACACAGTAATGAAATTTCTTCTGGTGCAAAACCAGTAATACACGACAGTAACAACAAAAAAGCACTTTATAGCACTTCTTAAAGTGATTTAACAGCTGGAAAGGAGGAGATACAACACATAACATGGGACTAGTCTGCTCACAATGAACCACCAGGAAGCACTGCACAAACTACTAATTACTTCTAAGCTGAAGTTTGGGCTAAAACTTTATCTAGCACCTCCAGTTAATACCCTCAAGTCCTAGGTCGAATGGTTGAAAATTAAGCAAACGGTTTTGATCATATCTTCAGTTATTTAGAAAACTATTCTGTACACAGATTTGAATACGGAGACTAGTAAATTAACTATCACCCTCCCTATTCCCTAACAGATAAACTTTCACTGTTCAGCCTCAAGACTGCCTTGACTCCTGTAAGCAGTAACAGCTCCCAAGGGATTACCAGTAAAAGCTACATTTTTCTTTCAACTTTTTGTTTGTTTTCTTATGGTGGATGGGGAGGCCAGAGGCAGATAGTATATGGAATGCTAGAACAGCTTAACTTTCACCTGGACATCTCCCTTTACTAAGGGAATTCACATCTGGCTGATTGAAGACAGCTATCCATCTCTATGCTGGCTGAGTGGGGCCAAGATCTCACCTTTGTCCTCTAGTAAATATACACACATGACAACGCTTTTCCCTAAAACAGGGAACCTCTGTGCTAAGTAAGACTCAAGGTTCAAAAATAATCCTGGAGACATCTGCAATTTGCCTTTTATTTTGCCTTCAGTTAAATAAAATCTAAATACAGTAATTGTGCAGCTTAGTATTTATCATCCATTAGAAAAGTACAGGCTCAAAAAAGCTCACAGTGACTGGATTTTAAAGAGATGGTAAGAATCAAAACACTGGATATTGAAGTTTCAAGAACTTTATAAAATGGTTTACTCAGTAAACAATCACAAACATTATATTAGATCTATAAAAAACACAGGTTAAAGGAAGAAGTTTGTACTGCTATTATTTCAACATGCAAGAAATCAAACAAGGAAAAAACATAAGGTCAGTAAGGGAGTCATAATTACAATTTAAAAGTTAATAACTTAAATCTTTGCCTCTTATTTTGATAAGTATAAAATATCTTGGTTGGTACAGCCCAATCTCTACAAAACCAGTAATTATTTACTTTTAGCCACATGATTCATAGACAATCCTCAAGTAACCATAAAAACTAAGCTACACTTACCCTTGTGTGGGTGCGAATATGCATCTTCAATCCATCATTCTTGCTGAAAGCTTTGTCACAGTAAGGACACTGGTAAGGACGCTCACCTGAAAACAAGAAACACATCAGATTCCAAAAATATGGCCTCGATATATGAAGGCCTTACAGCACAGTTACTTGTCAAACTGAGGTACTTTTTTTCTGGCCTTGTCTTCCCACTCAGTTCAAACAAGAAAAGATCTAAGCATTAGGAAAATTACAAATAAAGGTCCATCTGAGCAGGATACAGGGCTGGGTCAAAATATTCTAGCAATATATGAATACACACAGAGAGCCTTGGGGGATAAAAAGAAAAACAACCAACAAAACCAACACCTACTGCTCTTGCTCAAACCACATTCTACAGTGATTTACACATGGTCACTTTCATGTTTAAGCACTAACTGCTCCCAAATATTTCACATATGATCATTATTAGAGTCCTCTGGGTGTCAGAATCTCAATGAAATATAAAATCTACGATTTTTTAATGCTGTATCTGAACTGTGTTAGAAGCTAGTTAATCAAAAGTCTCTGCAATTTTTGTATCACAATTTATGACTGAAATGGAAATAGAATCATCTTAGCATCTTCCTTGCAGTATCTCATATCTTAAAGGTATTTTGTTTACTGCTTCATTAAACTGGTGTCATTTAGCATCAATTTTCCCAAACTCACATTAGTGAAATCTGCAAACTGAGCTGTTCAGAATCAAAAAGTGAAGAGTTTCTAAACTAGCTCCATAATTTGGAAGAAGTAATAAAGCTTTATCATTCCCCAAGGGCATTTTAATTTTCAACTCTCTAGACAATATAGAGGAATCTGAGTCTATTGCCTCCTCTACCTGTACACAACACTTCAAAAGCAAGTATTCGGTTGTTTCTAGTACAAAACCACAGTTCAACAAATTAAGAACACAATAACTATTTTTCTGTTAATGAAATGGAATTTGTTATACACATTCATAATGCCAAAGGTGTATCAAACCTTTATTTGAAAATATGAGTAAAGCAAAACCTATTCCACTAAGTCAATGGACTGCTTTCTGCTCACAAAAGAAGCTTTGCTTGTACAGAGAGATTAAACATAATACAAATGTCAAACAATTAATGACACTCATACTCAATGCTGGAAAACAGGTAAGAATAAATACATTTTACAGTTAATTCCCGCCCCCTCCCCCAATGTATTTCACTGATATGCCAAAGACCAGAGTGCAAGAGAGTGGTAGTGACAGAAATAAGCATTTAAAGCTCCACAGTCCCTAATAACATTTTGACCTGAGGGAAGGAAGCCGCCTCATCCCAACTCATCTTCACGAGGTATTCTTCCATGATTGCTCAGAGGGAAGATACTGGATGTTTTACTTCTTGGGAACAAGATGTCAAAGGATCACAAAAGTATTTAATGGAGATAGTTTACAGAAACAGCTCTTCAGAGGGACTGACTCCAAATATAGTATAGTACTGATAGTCACTGTTGTACATAAAATCTCTATAGTCCGAAATGGTGTAGAGATTTGAGGGCAGCTGAGATTAATCCTCTTACTTAAATAATCATCTAAAGAAAAAAAAAAACCCTGTTTAGTAGATAGACTATTCTGCTCTTTTCTGTCTTTTGCTGTTTAGACAGCTCAGTTAATGATAGCAGCAAGACACTGTGTAGCAAAGTTATTTGTGAAATACAAATGTTTTTCTCTCTTGTATTCTGCCATCTCTCAGTAAGCGCAGTTGTGTGAATTTGGCTTTTTTTTTAGAGTGATGGCAACAATCACTGTGTTATAGCTGTGTTTTCACTGAGCAGTTTGAAATATGATACTCTCATGACCCTCAATGTCTTTAATCCATGTCTCCGAAATTCAAACACTCAGACAGCTGTCAGAACTCAAATATTTAATTAATTCAGCTGATGTTTTTATGTTTTTGGGCTTTTGAATGCAGAAGCTAAAGCTTTCAGCAGTTTGTAAGCAGATGAGCGTTGACAAGTAGGAGCTGTACCCCTCCTCCCTTTCTCCCCCATCCCCGAGTCTCTTTAAAGACTTTTGCTTTCAAAAGATGGCATATTTTGAGTTTGTCTGAAATGGATTAACAGCATCCTTCAGAAATTAACCATGGAGCCCATGATATTGATGAGTAAGGCCTTAAAAGCTTTTAGTAGATGCCAGTAGAGGGCAACAGTATGACTGCATATCAACATGCTACACCTGGAAAAGTCTGGCTTCAAGCGACTGTTAAGCACTGTAAATATTCAAGTCTGCACTGTTCCAAAACATCAAGTTTAAACACAGACTCCCACTTAACAGTGATGGTTGGTGACATCCTGGTTTTCTAAATTATAGAAACAATTTCTCATGCACTAGTACATTAATAATTGTTAGTGAAACAACTGAAAAGCTCATTTCCAGTGATTTTACCGTTGCTCTTTCTTTCACCTTATCTTTGTAGCCTATATGCCCAAAATATTTGCAAGTGCCCTTGCACTTGCAAAAGCAACTGTTTCCACTGTGCACACACATCTTTTAACTGTGTAACTTATCTTCTACCTCCAAGAGTTTTAAAGCTTTTACAAAATTAACTGTGGGCCACCGAAAAAAAATATAAAATAAAATCTGTGCTTGCAGTAGCCAAATTTCTAGAATAAATTTCTTAGTCTCTCTGTAAGCAGTCAAAAGATGAGTCTGTGCCACTGCCTAAGAAATATATGGACATTTATAATGGCTTTAAATAAAAAATAACTTGTATTTAAAAATTAATTGATCTATGAACAAAACTCAAGATTCCACTCATTTTACATCAGCCATGTAAAAATAAAACATGTAATATTACCTAGTTGTTCTGAATTCCACTGAAATTAAGGATAAAAGAAAGCTAGCAGTATTTACTCTCCAGGCCTCTATTGCCTGAGAACTGAACGATCTATCCTCAGTCAATGCATTTTTTTCACTATTTACTATATCAGGAACCTAGGCAATTAATTCAGATTAGATGTCTAAACCTATGGACAGCAGATTTTGGCAAGATTATTACAATCCTACTTATTAACTACTTTATCTCTGGTAAAAATTATCTTCTTGTCTTGCTCCAGAACTAGACTAGGCAAACATTATTCGTGCTACCAGTCAGTTGCTTGTAATAATGACCCCAGTAACAGATTTCTCACTGAGACTACTGGGAAGCAGGTGTTCCCCAAGACAAGTCTTAGACAATCTATCCCACTTTAAGTCCTGTGAGATAAATGGGAGGAGTGGATCCTTTGTCTAATACTGTGAGATGCAGATGGCATAAGATGACAACAGAGAAAAAACAGATTTGAAATAACGAACGCTAAATATATTCTTCCCACATAGGAAGATTTGCTTAAGTGCCCTGTTTCATACAGAACTATTGCAAGTGTCCACAAAAGAGAAGGTTTTGTGCTTCAACAAAGTTTAGAATTGTCACTAAGAAAATATGGAGAGCAAGTGTGATGTGATAAAAGTTCCTGGGAAAGTGACATTATCCATCAGTGCTTTCATGTTCATCTGCAATCTAGCAAAGGCCACCAAAAATCAATTATAAGCACTTCAATATTAAACTTCAGATCAACTCACACACAATAAATATTTGGAGATTTCCAGATGTAAAATTTCTCTGATCAGAAAAAGAATGAATCTGTTACTAAGAGATCAAAAGAATGGCAAAGATGAGCAAACAACACAGTGTTGTAAGTCACATATCTCTATTCTCTTGTCCTCACAAAAAGGAGTTATTAAGCATCGCAACGAATGAAAGCTATTTTCCCTATGACAACCAATTTCTTCTTGGATTTACTGCTAGAAGCATGCTTACGAGATATAGTGTCAGTATGGAATAGCATCATAATAAGAGGGGGTGCACCTGAGATAAAGTTGTTAATGTCGATTAACAGTTATGCCATTTGCACTCTGCTTTTTTATATAAACATATATATTTTAAATATATATATCTATTTAACATAAAATAAAGAACTTTATGTTTGAAGACAATGATAAATCATTACCAGGGGATAATACTGAAGTAAATCAGTGCACCAGTTTTTTTACTGTAATGCCTTTTCATTTCAGTCAATAGCAGAGTAAGTTTTCAAAGGTATTATTTCACAAAGTGAGGGTCGTCAGTTGTTTTTTCCTAGATTTGATTTATATACAAAAATATGGAGAATGTGGGGGAAAATCTTTTCACTTCTAAACATACTATCAAGTCTTAATCCTAACATTTCACATTAGGAAAATACCTGACAAAAGCCCTCGCCTTCTATGTTACTGTTTGCAACTCTGCCACTAAACCGCAACAGAGACTATGATCTGCACTTTTCACTAAAACATTGCATCAGACTTTCGACTTTAGTACAGTATCAAAATCCAGTAGGCATATTAGATACATCTTAATTTGACACCTTGTCCAGTCAACATGCCCAGAAGTAATGTTGTGAATGTACAATAACTAAGAACAACTGCTATAATTAAAATACCAGTACACTCAAGTAAGACAGACATAATAAATGCTATGTTCACCCTCAAGTTACAGCTGACTGTCATGTCCCTGCTGACCAAGAACAAGCTGCTCAACATATTAATGGCACTTCCTTACAAATAACCCTGAATAAATAATCCTTGGATAAACTGCAGTGGATTTAATATAATTCAAAGTCTAGACATGCTACTTCCAGATTTTTCTATGAACAAAACCAAAGCTTTTAACATAATAAAAATAAATTTTAACCCTAATACAAGGATTATGAAAAACAATTCCATGATTGAAAACCATATGGGATTTTGGTCTGAAAACAAGTCATGACAGAACTGGTATCTTTTTTTTTTCCTCGAGTGTATAAATCTCTAGCTTGAGATCACAACATCTACTGGACCTTAATGTAGCATAACAAGTTAAACATCAGGTTCTTCCATCCCTGTTCAACTTGGGATGGACACTTCCCATGAGACATTTGCAATCAAAGGTGCTGTAAGGTAGCATTTACAGTGAGTTCAGCACCCAGATTTCCAAACTCAGATATGCCTAGGAGCAAAATAATTAAGAAGCAAAATGAAATA